CGAGACAACCAGACAGACGAAGATAGAAATAGAGACTGAGACAGAGACAGAGACTGAGACTGAGACAGAGACAGAGATAGAAAGAGAGGAAGATATAAATATATAGAGCAAGAGAGAGAGAGAGAGAGAGAAAAAGAGAGAGAGAGAGAGAGAGAGAGAGAGAGAGAGAGAGAAAGAGAAGAAAAAAGAAAAAAGATTGAAAGGGTGCATGAGACGGTATCGGTGGGGTTACGGGGGTAAGGGATATGGGGAATAGGATCGACAATGGGGGGCGAGAAAACAATTCCCATGGGCCAACCCTTTCCAAGTGATTAATGTATGCAAAGATAGAGAAACCAAAACCCATATATATATATATATATAGAGAGAGAGAGAGAGAGAGAAAAGAAAGGGGAAAAAAAGAGAGAAAGATATATTGTCAAAGAAGTTTATTAATTTTTGTAAAAATAGCTGACCATTATCATCGTCCTCGATGTCGTCATTGTTTTTTTATTGTTGTCATTATGTTATCATTGACAATTGATAAAGTTGTTGATAATTTATTGTTAATTGATAATTAGAAAAGATAGACCTTTTTTATCTTTCTTTTTTTTTTTTTTTTTTTTTTTTTTTTTTTGACGAGATTCATAGAGGAAGATATAATGAAAGTAGGAGGATTGCAAAGAAAAAGGAGAAGAAAGAATGAAAGATAGAAAAAAGTTCAGAGAAATTGGGAAGAAGATGAAGAAGAAAAAAAAAAAGAAAAACAAAAATAATAATAATTAATAAATAAAATTGAAATTAAAAGGAGTAGAAGGAAAGAGTAGAAGTTAGAATCAGAAAAAAAAAAAAAAAGAAAAAAAGAAACAAAAAAAGGGAAAAAGTGTAAATGAAAAGAAAAAAAGAAAGAGTGACGCAAAAAAAAGAAGAAAAAAAAAAAAAAAACAAGAAACTTGCTCCACGTTCACCTCCCTCCTACGACACTTTGTGTCAGGGTGGTTTCGGACTAGAAAGAAAGAAAGGAAAAAAGAAAAAAGAAAACTAAATAAAAAAAAAAAAAAAAAATAAGACAAGCCGTAGGACCTCTCCCATTCCTTTCTAACCTTCTTTTCACAAAATCAGATCCGACTGAACTGATTCTTTTCTCTCTCTTTTATTTTTTCTTTTTTCTTTTTTTTTCCCTTCTGATTTTTTTTCTTTTCTCCTTCTTTCTTTCTTTCTTTCTTTCTTTCTTTCTTTTTTCTACTCGACCGCCTAGACACTATAGATAGATATAGATAGATAGATAGGGATAGATAGATACATAGAAAGAAAGAGAGAGAGAGAGAGAGAGAGAGAGAAAAAGAGAGATGCGGTTTGTCGATAAAGAAATATCGGAAATGTCGAACGTTGTCCTGCAGTCCTGCATTTCTCTTACATACGATTTATGCCAACTGCATTTATACTGAACCAATGGAAGAGAATGAGTCTCTTGGAAACACTAATGAGCTGCCAAGTTCGTCCAATATCAGATATATTAACGTCCACACTTTTGCCTTTTCAGATTCAACGAAGATATTTTCAATTACAAATATTTAAACAAAGAAATATATATATTAAAAAATTAAAAATATTTCATGTATCGAAGATATATTTAAAAGGAAAGGAAAAAAAAAAAAAGAAAAAGGAACTGAAATAAAATAGAACAAAAAAAAAAATATATATATATATATATATAATTCAACATCCCCTATAATCGCTATCATCCCTCTCGTCATCACCCATCTCCTTGCATACATACACACACACACACACACACACACATACACATACACATACACAATCTTCCACCTCCTCCTCCTTTTTTTTTCCCTTCCCTCCAGTAATCTCACTACTCATTTTTTTAATTCATTCAAAACAATTATTAATCAATCGTTAATTTAATATACAATTGATTGTCAATTAAAACATTTCTTTCTTTAACAGGAGAGAGAGAGAGGGTTCGATCAAAAAGAAAAAAAAAAAAAAAAAGAAAAGAAAAGATCGTCGAATCGTAAATTTTTATTTCGATCGTGTATTCGCTTGCTCGACGCATCATCGTGCACTTTGAATTTAAATATTTATAGTGTAGTTTTAAAGATAAGAATTTATTAGTATCGTTTAATAATACTCGACGAGTATGATAAATGAAAATTAAATTTCTTATCGAGATCTTGGAGGGGAAATGAGAACAAAAAAAAAAAAAGAAAAAAAAAAAAAAAAAAAAAAAGAAAAGAAAAGAAAAAGGAAAAGAAAAAAAGTAGTTTTTCCTCGATTTATACGAGTACTAACAGGAGGTGGGGGGTGGGGAGGGGTGGGGTGGTGAGTCGTAAAATTCGTTTAATCAACCATTCGGATGAGATGTTTATCAAGGTCAAAGAGATCTTTATTACATATATCTTTTTTTCTTCTTCTTCTTCTTCTTCTTCTTCTTCTTTTCTCTTTTCTTTATTTTTTTCTTGTCTTGTTTTGTTTTGTTTTATTTTTTTTCTCTGTTTCCTCGACCACGATTAACTTTGGAATTAAATTTGCATCTCGTGGGGGATTAATTTTATTAAAAAAAAAAAAAAAAAGAAAGAAAGAAAGAAAGAAAGAAAGAATTCATTTTGATACGAACGATTGCTTCAATAATTGACCCAATGAATATCGTCGTATTAAAATCAATCGTCTCGTGTCGAATGCGAAAATCATTTTCTTATTCTTATCTTTCATTTTTTTTATTTTTTTTTTTTTATTTCCTTCTTCAGAGAAACGAAATAGAAAGAAGGAGAAAAAAAATCAAAGGAATTATTATTTAACAAGATTTCGTATAATAAAAATAAAACTCGTTGCCCGTTACGTTTAAGCGTTCTAAATCAAACTGAAAAAAAAGAGAAAAAGAAGAAAAAAAGAAATTTAAAAAAATAAAAAAGATATATATATATATATATATATATATATATATATAGACAAAGAGAGACAGCGAGAACAACAGATTGACATTTGAATTACGTTCGAAAGAGAAAAGAAAATGTATGGAAAAGGAAAGAGAAGAAAAGCAAAAAGAAAAAAAAAAAAAAAAGAGAAAAAGAGAAAAGAGAAAGAAAAAAAGGAAAAAGAAAAAAAAAGAACAAAAAAAGGAGAGAGAAAGAAAAGAAAGAAAAGGGAAATGGATGCCGACGCCGTTAGAAATGCAAATTCAAAGTGTCTCAATGCGTTTAAACGTTCCAAGCTGAGATTGATTAATTGAAGGTTAAAGGGTTTGGTGTGCGTTAAGTGGTTCACTGAAAACCTTTTCTCTCCTTTAACGCTGAAGTTCTCGATCTCTCTAGTTAGTTGGTTGAGTTCCAAACGCTGCATCGGATGCCGCATGTGCATATACATACATACATACATACATACATACATACATACATACATACATACATACATACATACATACATATATATATATATATATATATATATATATATATATGTATGTACGTGTGTATGTACATGTATGTGCACGTGTGTATATGGTGTGAGTATAAGAGTGGGTGAATTCTACAGACATGGTATAACATACCACATCTACTAATGTATATATATTGTGTGTGTGTGTATGTGTTAGGAATCAAACGCAGCTAAGAAAAGGGAAGGACAAATAAAAGGAAGAGAAAAGAATGCGACCTCGACCGGTTACCGTGTCTCGTTTCGTGTCAAAACACGACGCTAATGCATCATTAAAGGAACGCGCCCTGCCATGTCAATGTAGCGCCAGTTAAGGATTTTAACTGGGACAGTATACTCTTTTATATATATATATATATATATATATATACGTGCGTGTATGTGTGTGTGCGCGTGTATGTGTGTGTATAACAATCGGTTTATTATATATTTCATATATCTATTTTCTTTATGAATATTTAAAAAAAAAAAAGCAAATGATTTGGTAATATGCTTTTTTTTTTATCTAATTATTCTTTTTTCTTTTTTTTTTTTTTTTTTTTTTTAATGTATAAACTACTTTTCATATAAGTGTGTATGTATATATATATATATATATGTTTACTATTGATATATATTTATTTCCAATTTATTAATAATCAAATTATCAATTAAATTGATTATTAATGAACGATAAATTATTTGTTTATTATTATTAATATATATATATATATATATATTTATTTATTTATTTAAAAGCTATTGTTAATGAATTAATTATCATTAACATATTAATAATACAATATAAATATAATAATATTGATCTTTCAATAGAAAATTGAAAAACCCTTGTAACTTTATCGACCCACCCCTATCTCTGCCATTAGACAAAAAGAAAGAAAAAGGAAAAAAAAAAAAAAGAGAGAGAGAGAGAGAAAAAGAAGAAGAAAGAAAAGAGAGAAAAAATAATTGCAAACATTTGTCATTCTCTTTAATAATTTAACAAATCGATAATAATAACTAATAGTAGTACTAGCATTAGTAATGGTAGAGTGATATAGTAATGGTATTAGTATCAGCTACATCGTCGTCAGATACATAGGAGTATAATGCACGAGTTCAAAGGATATCGTAAATACAGTATGACAGTTAATCCTTTCATAGGATATCTCGAAGGTATAAGGATAGGTGTGATCGAGATGAAATGGTGGTTGGAGGTGAGGGGTGAGGAGATTGAGGAGAGGAACGAGAGAAAGCGATGAAATATCACAGCTGGTCTTATAAACGAGACAACCCAACCAACCCAACCTAACCCAACCCAACTTAACCCAACCCAAGGCAAGTGAAGCCAACGCCAACAACAACAACAACAACAACAACAACAACAACAACGACGACGACGACGACGACGACGACGACGACAACGACGACTGACTAACCGAGTCCCCCTTTCTACTCTACTCTACGTGTACATTGAGTACTACTACGCTTTTATAATCTCACGAAGAGGTTTTAACGTTGTTATCTTACGCAGAAAATGTGTGATAAATCTTTCATTCGGTTGGCCTGGTAGGTAGGTCGTCGTTTGATATATACGTCGATACGTCAGATCGGTTTGTTCATTGGTCGATTGGTGATTCGTTGTTACGGTTAGCTGATATCGAGGAAGAAGATTCTCATCGGTCGATGTCCAATCAGTACATGTTGATTCTAATTTAGAAAGTGCGAGAGAGAATGAGAAAGAGAGAGATAGAGAGAGATAGAGAGAGAAAGAGAGAGAGAATATATATATATATATATATGTATAACAAATTTACGATCGATCATGCCCTCTGGGCACAGAGCACAGAACACGGCAGAGCTTAGCACAGTTCAGTTCAGTTCAGTTCAGTTCAGTTCAGTTCAGTTCAGTTCAATTCAGTTCAGATCAGATCAGGTTTTAGGTTTTAGGTTAGGTTGGCTTTAGTTTTTTTACTTAATAACATGGATATAAAAGAAAGGGAGAGGGGAATAAAAGGAAATTTGATTTTTGATTGAGAATCGATATTGGGGTTTACTTTTGTTATCGTTATTGTTGTTGTTGTTGTTGTTGTTGTTGTTGTTGTAGTTATAAGGTATGTTGCGTGTACCTAACTAGAAATTACCAGTGAGAATATCTTGCGGAATGCATCTTTACCCACCAAACCCACTACCAAACTACCGATCAACTTATCTACCTACCTAACTATCTACCTACCTATCTACCTTACCCTGCCTACCTATCTACCCTAACATATTCGACTGACTATATCTATAGCGTTTTCGAAAAAGGAACAATAATGATATTTAAACGAATTTAATCATCGATTTGTCATTCATCAATGACTCTAATCAAACAAAATTCGCCATTTTTATCATACATGAATGTACATTTTTTTTTAATATATCGACACACACACACACATATATATATATATATAGATATATGTGTGTATAGATTTCTTTAATCCAATTCATATATTTTTAAGGTAATTTTTGAATCTCCTTTTGTTTATACTTTTTTTTTTTATGATGATGGTGATTCGCGGATCATTGAAAAAAAAAAAAAAAAAAAAAGAAAAAAGAAAAAAACAGAATAAATTAATACACAAACGAGAATTCCTAAAAATAAAATAAAAATAAATTTGTAAAAAAGAAGATATAAAAAATGTCCATCCATTTATCTATCCATTTCTCTCTTTCTCTCTCCTTCTCTATCTCTCTGATTTAATATTTATCACTTTAGCTGAAAAGCAAAAGATAGAATTTTAAAAGGTTAAACAATGCTAATCCCGTTTCCATTGAAATACGTTCCATTGATTTAACTCAATGATACTTAATAAATGTTTAGACGAGATCTAAATGGAGTATAAGTGTGTCTCGTAAGAGAAAAGGAAGAATTAAATGAAATATTCCGTAAACGAGAAATTCTATCCAAGAGATGACGTAAAATTGTATTATTTGTGTTCCACATTCGTTCGTTTTATCGTTAATATCTTGTTTATTCGTTTGTTTGTTCGTTCGTTCGTTAGTTTGTTCGTTTGTTCATTTGTTTATTTGTTTGTTTTTTTTTTCCTTTCTTTCTTTCCTTCTTTCTTTTATCATTTATTAGATCACAACAATGATCGTCACATTTTATGGTTATGATCTTTGTCAAGATTATGACGTAAGTTAGACACGTAATCTCTTTTTTTAGATGCTTTTTAAAATAGTCCTTAGAATGGAGGCTACTACCGCATTCTTAAATGCATTAGAACGTGTAACATTGACGTTTACGACTATGACGACTAAGACGACGCGTTTCATTTGATTAGGGTTGTTTTACGTCTCTCATCTATCTATTTATCTCTCTCTCTCTCTCCCTCTCTCTCTCTCTCTCTCTCTTTCTCTTTCTATCTATCTACATATCTGTCTGTCCATCTCTTTCTTTCTCACTCCTTCTAATTAACAGTTGGACCCGTCAATTAAAACTACGGGCCGAACACTTTGACGGAGACGAATAAATTTTTCCCTTTCTAAAATTCTTTATTCTACAATATGTTCGTAGTAGTTCTATGTATTTCGTACACATCGTCGTAATCATTAATCGAACGGACATTTATTATTTTTTCAAACATTATTACGAATATATATATATATATATATATCATGTCATTTTATTTCCCTTATTATTATCCTTATAATAATCATTTTTATATTTTATATTTATATCCCTATATAATAATTTTTCTTATTATTATTTACAATTATTATTCGTCGATTGTGACGATTATGAAAAGTTTTTTTTTTTTTTTTTTTTTCGTAATAATTGTTTCGTAGAAATTATTCTCTCTCTCTCTCACTCACTCACTCACTCTCTCTCTCTTTTTTTTTTGTTCGAATTTGAAATTAAATTAAAAAAAAAAAAATAAAGGAAATAATAATAATAATAATAATAATAATAATAATAATAATAATAATAATAATAATAATAATAATAATAATAATAATAATGAATATAGAAAGAAAAAATTAAGGATTAAAAAGATCGAAGTAATTAATTGTTAATGAAACATTGTTAATCATATAACAATA